TATGTATAATTTACATGTACATGTATTTCATCTTTGACTAGCTGAAGTGCAATTACTACACAATTATTACGGAATTGCGCGCAAGGGCTCGAAATTGAGCACAAGTAAAATTCATTTTCGTTGGAAACTTTTAGTAAATATGGACTTGAGAGAAATGTAAACAATGCAGTACACATGGACTTGAGAGAAATGTAAACAATACAGTATAATGGACTTGGGAGAAATGTAAACAATACATAATATTTAGATTTTTAAGAAAAAAAATCGATTTTTTAGCCTATGTTACTTACCTCAAAAAAGTTCAGACCATTCGGTCCAGCCTTTTGGCCAGGTATAGCTAGCATATAAATATATATGAGCGAAGAGCTTTATTTATGTATTTTATCTATGATTACTCCATCCACATGTACTTACTCTATGATTACTCCATCCACATGTATTTAATCTATGTGTACAGCATATATGTAATTGTATTTAATCTATGTGTACAACTATGTAATTGTATTTAATCTATGTATACAACTATGTAATTGTATTTAATCTATGTATATAACTATGTAATTGTATTTAATCAATGTATACAACTATGTATACAACTATGTAATTGTTTATAATCTATGTATACAACCATGAAATTGTATTTTATCAATGTATACAACTTTGTATTTAATCTATGTATACAACTATGTATTTAATCTATGTATACAACTATGCATACAACTATATATACAACTATGTATACAACTATGTATTTAATTTATGTATACAACTATGTCTTTAATCTGTGTATACAACTATGTAATTGTATTTAATCTATGTATACAACTATGTATACTAGTACGTAATTGTTTTTAATCAAAACAAATGCTCGCACTTCAACAAATGTAATAAACATTAAACAGCTATTCAACCCATATAATACGGTGATCTATCTATCTATCTATCTATCTATTTGTATTTATATATATTTATATATATTTATCTATCTGCCTATCTATGTGTATATCTATTTCTCTATCTATCTATATCTATGTGTCTTTTAAACATTTTTTAATATTTGTGTTTTCCTAACTTCATTCTTTGTTAATTAAAACATTGTACCGTGAGAACCAGAAAACTCTGAAATAGGAAGACGACTTTTAGGCTCAAGTTATAACTATATAAAGTCCTATGAGACACAGCAACTGTTCCGTGTAAATTTAATTTAGTGATTTAATAAGTGTATATTTATTAAAACTGTTTTCTTTGGTAACAAAATTAATTACACTTGCTATGGCGGCGTATTCCTATTCCATTATATTCTGGTTATAACTGTTTATTTACAATTTGTTTTCAGGGTGTTAAAAAATAAAGTAAATAGCACGTTAAATTTAAATCTGAAATGTTTTTAATCATAATTCCTCTTTTGGAAAAGCTATTGTTTGATATGTAACAAAATAGATTTTTATTTTTCTTAATTATGCAAAAGATCGACGTTACAGGAGCTACGAAGTCGCAAATTCATAAACATTTTGTTTACATAATAAACGGATGAGAAATAAAAGTTTGTAACAATCTTTTAAAAATTAAATTTTCTTAATTTCGAATGTTCTGGGTCATTTGACATTACAAACATTTACAATGTTTTTTCTTCTCACTTTTTTTCTCCAAAAAATATGTTCTTGTTTTTAAGATTATTATAGAACACAAGAATTAATATATTTAGCAGAAAATGTACTTTGATTGACTCTATCACATGACAGCAAAGCAGAAAATACAAGTTTTAGATTTGAAATAAAAATATTCTGTTTGCATCTAAACATAAAGAAGTTTATTAAGTTACATTACATGCAAACACTTTGAATAGATATATGTTTCTGTAAGGTTTCAATTACACGTTTGAAAAGCAAAAACATGTTGACACAGAAAGTCCATGTTTATGTATTGTTTACATTTCTCTCAAGTCCATGTGTACTGTATTGTTTACATTTTTCTCAAGTCCATGTGTACAACAGAATTGTTTACATTTTTCGTAAGTCCATATGTACTGTATTGTTTACATTTCTCTCAAGTCCATGTGTACTGTATTGTTTACATTTCTCTCAATTCCATGTGCACTGTATTGTTTACTTTTATCTCAAGTCCATGTGTACTGTATTGTTTACATTTTTCTCAAGTCTATGTGTACTGCATTGTTTACATTTCTCTCAAGTCCATATTTACTAAAAGTTTCCAACGAAAATGAATTTTACTTGTGCTCAATTGCGAGCCCTTGCCCGCAATTCTGCAATAATTTCGTTTGTGTTTTCATTTTTTTATTCAATTTAAACCTTATGGAACGCATTAAACGCAATTAATTATTGCACAATTCCGTTCAGCAACGAAATAATTCAATTTAAACTTTGGTAGTGACATACAATAAACTGAACTTCACTAACAATTCAGTCTCAAATGCTAAGAAAATAAATTAAACTTGATCTTTTATTTTATAATATTCATATGCAGCATGATAACCAGCAGGGGCATTGGAAGACGACATTTTAGACGCAAGCAAACCCATTTAACTGAATAAGTTCTTAATTAAATGTTTTGCTTTGTAACGGCATGAAATACACTATAATGTTGACTTTCTGTGCCATAGTACTCTGGTTCTCTCTGTAGCAATATATCTAATTTTGATTAAACAACTCTCACAGTTTTAACCAAAAAAAGTTTCCATTTTAATGTTTATCCAATGTGAACAAGTGAAAAAGGTTTCATATTAAATTGTTAATTAGTAGCTTAACCACAAGAAACTTTAAAATTTGAAAACTGTTGAAACGAAACCAGTGATTTTTTAAAAAATCTACAGAAATATTTCTATTCTTGTATCCGCTACATAAATTTGTAAGTCATAGTTAAAATTGTTGTTTCTGTTGTAGATGGAACAGCAATTTCGTTGCACGCAATTCCACACAATCCCCTGAATATTTCATTTCTTTCTTGTACGCAATTATAGCGCAATGCCGAGGAATAAAATGGCGCACGCAAAAGTAATCATTGCGCGCAATTCCGTGCAACGGATTCCGATTGGAAACCCTAATATTTACTGCAGTGTTTACATTCCTCCCAAGTGTATATGTACTGCATTGTTCATATTCCTCCCAAGTGTATATGTACTGCATTGTTTACATTTCTCCCAAGTCCATGTGCTATGTATTGTTCATATACCTCCCAAGTGCATATGTACTGCATTGTTTAAATTTCTCCCAAGTCCATGTGCTATGTATTGTTTACATTCCTCCAAGTCCATGTGTACTGCATTGTTTGTTTTTCTTCCAGGTTCATATGAGTTGCATTTTTCCATTTCTCCCATGTTTATGTGTAGTGCAGTGTTTTCATTCCTGCAAGTTTATGCGAAATTACAATTATTTTCTTTGGTTGCAAACTAGAAATGCCATTGTTTAATTCTTTTCTAAAGCTTTTCTAGCAAATATTATTAAAAACATTTCAATCAGATTGTGGATTTTTGAAGTGCAACCTTTTTAAAAACCTACTAAATTAAGGTCAGAGGTTTTACAACACTTAGTTACGATTCCGCAAGGTTGGATGATAGGGTCTTTATTTACTTTACCCTTTCTTATTGTATTCCAAGGTCACTGAGTTGAGTTAGGGTAACATCGATTTTTTTCAAATTATAGTTCATACTTAGTGGATATATATCTATAAACAAAAATAACTTTTACTTTTAAAGACAGCGAGTATATAATAATAATTTGTTAAATATTGTCGTTTTTTAGCTTATAAAGTGTTTAATTTCACTATTTCTATCTGTGTTGTTGTAAAAAAATAGTCCACAATTTATTTTTAAAGGGAAGCCACAATTGAAAATAATTATTTTCAGTCAAAACATGAATTGGTTTTGACATTCTGGACATGAAGGGCTTACATTGAAATAACATCTCTAGACGATTTAAGCTAAAAAAAATGTGCAACAATATTAGGAAAAATAAATTTAATATTAGTAATTACGTATATTGTTAAAAACTGTGTTTGCTAATAACTATAAGATACAAAATTGGCTAGAAAATTTATATTGTAATCTTAATAATTGCTGTACTGGTAATATGTACAAAAGCTTTTTTACAGAATTAAAAATGGACACCATAGAGAGATGTGAATAAGAGGAACAAAATTTTGTAAAAAGTAATGAAATTTGTACAAACATTGGCTGGGGTGGAAAATTAAAATGACACACGGAAGACGACATTTCAATGGAGACGGATCGACTTCAACAAACTTGTTCCCAACAAAAGGGATGTTATTACACAGAATAGTTTTTAACTAAACATTATTTTTATAATTTAGAAACGATATTTTCTGATTTGTAAAATTTAGTAAAACTAAATAATTTTAGCAACTTCTGAAAAAAAAATAAAGCAATAAAATACAAATTTGAAAATTGAAGACTGCTAAGCAATGTTATCTAAGACAGCATTTTTCAAAACAAGAACTTTTATCGATACCATATACAATACTGATATGACAATTCCAATAACGCCCCCGAAATAAAATAATCCCAAAATTAAAGTCTATCAAATAAGTCTGTAGTGGTGTGTGTGAGAACTATTGTGTGTATACAGGAAAGGTTTGCTAGCCCACTGCTATGACCGGCCGCGGACAGCTGATGATAGCACCAGTATACAGGAGGCAGCATCAACTACAGGAATCATCACTAAAAAAAAAACAATTTTTTACGAAAACATCCACCAGTGAATTGGGAAAAAATCCGCAATTTGAATTAAAAATTTAATCTATTTTCCTCCAGCCGAAACTAAAGTTTGTGTATCTAAGTTTGAACCCATGTCAAAGTTTTCAGAGGAATTCGTGGCTGTTTAGCAACTTAATTAAAGATTCTTAAAATGAGACTTAAGATAAAGTTATTTTCTATTTCGCAAAATTTGCCACAAAATTATCTCCTCAAAAAAACTTTCTTCTGAGTTTTTACAAAATGGTTTAAGTGAACGGTTTTCAATGACAGGACGGAAAACTGGTTCTATCGAATTGCAGACAGTTTCAGGACGTCAACACGTGTTGGTTACAGAAGTTAGGAAGCGCGGCTATGCGCTGGGATGAAACGAAATGAGAAGATTGTACCACCATGCAACCCCCAGGAGCTCGTTCTCTCCCTCGGTTAGATATATATATCACATAATATCTAAACAAATACTTAAAGAAGATTTCCTTTGGATTTCAAAGAATCACTTGAAGTGCAAGTCTTAAACCATTACGTAACCTTATTGTTACAAACGATTCATTAAACTTACATCATGGGGGTTACATTTTAAAAGACTACTTTTTTATCATTAATTTTTTTGTTCTTCTGGTGTCGTGCATGGGAACAACTCCCTGCACGGAAACACCTCTCCCTAAAGTTTTGACCATTTTAACACAATGTTAGACATAATTAGCAAGGTTATGACATTTTCCGATATTTATTAATGTATTTTGATTTGAAAAGAAGACGACATACGGGACTAAATAGCTTTTTTGCCTTTACCCCCTGTAAAGTACATTCAAGAACTGAATGCGTATTTAATATATGTCAACTAATAATTGCTTTTTCTGTTTAACATTGTGTTGAAATGGTTAACACTGTAGGCAGAGATGGTTCCGTGCAAGGGAGGTTTCCCCATGCACTGCACCGGGCTGATAACAAAAAACCACAAATTGTGCTTGCTGAAAAGATGTTTGCCTGATAAATGACATTTTTCCAAGCTTTAAATGTTCTCAATGTTTTCGTGTTAAATTGAATCCTAAAACCTTGAATTGTAAAGATGATGGAATAAAATTTAAATTATTCTAAGAACCTTTTCTCATAAACCATTTAAAGTGAGGTTTTATTTTTCTTCACTCAGCCCTTTCTTTACTTTTGAGCTTTGGAATAAATTTTGTTTGATTTTTAATATTTATGTTTCTTTTACAGCCCAATCCAAAAGAGCGAGATGGAGGGATGTTTCAGCCCCTCTGATTCTTCTCCAAACATCAGTGGAGGACATTTCAGATCCCAAGGGTGGAGACGAAAATACAGAATGGTCCGAAACCACAACCACTATGACAACTACACTAGAATCAGAAGCTCAATCTCTTCGCGTAGCCTTAAAAACGCCAACAGTTCAGAGTACAAATTCTGTAGGAGCCGGACATCCACTAGGACGTCCACAAACATTCCGACAGATGCCATATTCTGTTTCCTCTCCAAACAAACCCCAATGTACTGCCAACTGTCCTCCATCCCAGGGACCCACGTGTAAACCTGCTACCTGGTCTAGTTGTACTTGCCGCAACAAATTCTTTACTAATCTAGATAAATCTCAAAGATGTGACATATGTCTTGCCAAGAGCATCAGTGATAGCCGGGTTAAAAATCAAACCAAAGATCATGCTCAGAATATTAAAAAAGAGTTGTCGGACCAAAAGAAAGCTTTCTCAAAGAACAGTTTTGCGCGGTCTTCTCGCGAGTCGTCTTTGCTCACGGAAGTGTTGTCATGGCGTCGGACTAATTACTCCGCTTTTAGATTTTTTACATTTTACCTGGTTTTAATCCAGCCTACTGTATATGGAAGTGAATCACCAGATCGGGAATGCTGTGAAAATCCGCTGTATACTTTTGATAATCCAGAACGAGTAGTTACCACATTTTCACCCCCCGCTCTGACCTACAGACCCCCTGAAGAACCTGATATTTACCCAGAAGTTCCTGATTTACCAGGTAAAATATTTATGTACTGTCAAATATCCTTGTGCAAGCACTGCAGTGTACATGTCACATAAATTTCACTAGAAGGGGATCATACATTTGGCGTACCGTCCCGAGTTGCCTTATACAGTCTGTTTTTGTACTGTACAGTGTACAGCTTGCTCTGGATAGTTGAAAATTCGTCCCGTACATAAAATGAACTAGAGTGTACATACAGTGATATCGTACTATTCTTCAAATAAAAGCTTTTAAAAAACTAAAAAGACTAGTAATTATACATTTTAGAATAACTTTATCTATCTATCTATTTAAGTATCTACAAATTACATTATAATCCTCTGCACATAATCCAAGGAGATATATATCACTCCAACTAGTCAAGTTACAACCCANCTCCCTTGCTATAAAAGGTTTGCGCATACTTGCTTTCAGGATTTGCAAAGGGTGGAATTTTTGCAGCAGTTTGGATTTTTGCAAATCCAATCTCCGCAAAATATTCTCCATAGATAAATAGAATTCAGTTGCCTTGAGTTTTTAATTGATTTTCTTGCATAACATTGTTCAGATTTCAACAAGAAAACTTTTGAAAACAAAAAATAACGATTTAACATAATTTAAAAATATTTTTTTTTTCTATTTATGTATTCTTAAAATCTTTCCTTTATCATTTCATGTTAGATAATTATGAATAATTGAAAGCTGAAGAATTAAATAGTTGTTATGACACAATTACTTAGAAACAAGGGTGCTAAACAATATATATTTTTTATGTATTTTCTGTAATAATAATTAAAAAATAACTTTCATAAATTTTGTAAACTTTGTTTTATTTCTGGCTTTCACGTATTTCGTTTTAAATAAATACGTATTAATAGACGTTAAACAACATAAAACCTTTAGCACTTACAATTCTTATAATCTAAATCTAACTAAAGTATCTTCTTACTTGTGTAAATACAAAATTAGGAGTTAAGCTTTAATTGCTAAACTTTTTTCCTCCTTTTCTATAATATAAAAGAGAAGAGCTATAAATGGAGAGGAGAGGGGGGGATGNGATAGATAGATAGATAGATAGATAGATAGATAGATAGATAGATAGATAGATAGATAGATAGATAGATAGATAGATAGATAGATAGATAGATAGATAGATAGATAGATAGATAGATAGATAGATAGATAGATAGATAGATAGATAGATAGATAGATAGATAGATAGATAGATAGATAGATAGATAGACATATAGATGCATAGATAGATAGATAGATAGATAGATAGATAGATAGATAGATAGATAGAAAGATATATAGTGTATAATGATATATTATCAGAATATCCTCGTGTTGACTTTGTATAATGAATAATACATGAAGGTGTGGAGAGAGAGAGGGATAATGCCGATATTCTTACTTCATGATATTAACGTCAAACAAAAGCAAATTGTACGTCACTTATATCAAAATCCTTTCAAGTATAACTCCTCTTTCGAAAAAGCTATTTAGGAGGAAAAAAAATTTAAATATCTTTTATTTAATCAGATAAATTTGCATTCTTTTTTAACGCTTACTGAAAAGTTAGCGCACTCTAAAATACCTAATTTTATTTTGAGTGGAATTACCTGGAAAAGTGTAAAATAGTTTGTTTAATGTTAAAAGGGTTTTGGCTAGGCTGTTAGAAGTGGCCGAGTTTTAATTGTTAGGGAAAATTTACAAGTTTGTGGGGAAAATATATCGGGAAGAGGTTAAAAGCTTTAAAGTAAAATCCCCCCCCCCCCATCCTCTCAGTTTTTCTAAACAAGTTTTTGTAATGAAAAATCTATCTCTTTTTTGGTTTAAAAAGTTAAAAATAGATGTATCGGATTAGGTTTAAATTCACATAACATGTAATTTTTGACTTTTAGACTTCTTCAAAGCGTTTGATTTTTCAATTTTGAACATAAAAATGTTCTTTAATAATTTTCTTTAAATTATATTAATTATAAGTAAATTCAAGAGACATCTTTAATGGACTGTAAGTGTAAATTGAAGATGGAACGGTACGCTTATAAAAAATGTGTAAGATATAATTGTTGTTTTTTTAGGTTTGTAGAAAATTTTCTTTCAAAATTATAAACATTGATATCTAACTCTTACTTGATCAGACAATGCCTTGCCATCTTTAAATTGAAGATTACTTAAAATTACGCTTACAGACCCTTTACTTTGATGAAAAGTACTCATGAATTGAAATTGATTCCCGGCCTTGAAGTTATTTTTGATCGTGCATAGATATATATAAACACGCTAGATTTTGAAATAGTTAATTCTGTTTTTAGAATACAGAGATCAAAAGATTGCAAGTTTTCAAGCAAAAAATCGCTAAGAAATCTGCCATTTCCTTCTTAAAAACTAAAACCCAAATTAAATGCTTTTAAAATTATAATTAATAATGTCCAGAGCCTCAAAAAATATAAGTAAGTTAAGAAGGTTAAGTAAAGGTCTAGTTTTAGAAATGGATACTAACTTTCATTACTATTTGGACCTAGGTAAGATACATGTAAACTATCCAGTGTCCGAATTAATGAATTTGAGCCGCGGCTTAAATCTGCCAAAAACCGGTTTCAATTGAGCGCCAGCTTACATCTTGAAAAGTTAAATACAATTTTTAGTGGAACCAACCATATTTGATCCGCCAAATTTAAGGCGCGGCTCAAATTCTTTAAATTCGGCCTCTGAACATTGAAATAGTTTGTTCAAATCTGTGTTTACGTCAAGCTAAAGTAAAATATGTTATAATCATAACTTCTTTTCATACGCAGAGCCATTGAAAAAAAAAAATATTTTGAATTTTGTAATCGGATAAATTTGCTTTCCTTATACTTGTTCATAAAACTAAAACTACAGGAGCCTCGAGGTCACAAAGTCGTAACAGTAATGTTGCAAAAATGTAACCTTCTCCTTCTGTCGGGTTGACCGGAGGCCGAATTTAAGGAATTTAAGCCACGGTTAAAACGTGGTTGGTTCCACTTGAAAATGTATTCAGTGTTTCGAGATTTGAGCCGGCGCTCAATTGGAACCGGTTTTTTTGCGGATCACAGACGAAGTTATTCGGCAATGAATTAATTACAAAGAAAACAGGATTGGTGACAGCTAACCTATAAATTAGGATTTTTTAAAGCAAACTAGACAGCGCCTGATCCATCAGGGTTCAGTCATGTGTTTGTTGTCTATTCTGAACCAATAGAAATAGTATGGCGGTAACATCTATCTATCTCTCTATCTCATTATCCAATCAGAGTTATCCTTCAATCGGCGCTATCAGTAAATGGAAATATTTACTATTACTGAAGCTATCGTGAGACGGTTAAATAAAACTACCTCGGTTATATCTATGCGACATCACTGACGTGACTTTGAGAACTCATAGCTTCTTGTTTTGGTCTTAAGCATCAATTTGAGTTAAGCAAATTAATCCGGTAACATATAAGAAAACTCAAACATTTTTGATCTTCTCAATAGCTCTTCAATAACGGGAATAATGATTAAAAATATCTTTCAAAGGAATTGAGTTTTTGCAACAAACTTACATTTTCTAACCCCAATATCTTTGCAACCTGATGGTGTAAACCTTTTATATTTTAAACTTAGACTATTTGATCTACCAGAATTAGTATCAAAGGGTTAGGAAAACGGGTTGCTAAGTTATAGGAATTAGAAAATCTGAGTTTGTGGTAAAAAACTCAACTCCTTTGATATAGGTTCCCATGTACATTGTAACACCATTTAGACTTAAAGAATGAAAGTAGGAAGGCTATGAGATCTTCAAATCAACTGCTGAGATTGTTCTTTATGAATCCAGTTTAATGTTTGTTTTGAATTACTAGAGCAACTCCCCTAGCCAGTAACCGAATGAGGGTTTACTGGGGGGGTGGGGTAATGTGGAAGGGGATCTATGGGGTGCCCCTCATCCCTGGAATTTTAAAAATGAAATGGTTCTCTTAACATGTTGCACAATTGTTGTGTGTCATACTAGATAATCGGACTTAAAAAGTTATAACTTCTAAACGTTGTCTTAATTTTTTAGAGTTTCTGGTTTTCGTTGATTTTCGTAGATTAATAAATACATTTGACTGATATAATTTCATAAAACTTAAATGAACTGCAATCATATTAAATTTGATAGAACCTTCCAAACCCTTTAGAGAATCTTATAAAACTTTATTAGAATCTTCTAAAACTTTGAGAGAATCTAATAAAAATTGAGAGAATCATACAAAAACATTGATCGAATTTTATAAAACTCTGATAAAATCTAATAAAACTTTAATAGAATCCTTTGAACCTTTGAGAGAATCTAATAAAACTTTGAGAGATTCTGATTAAACATTGATCTAAAGGAATTGAATTTTTGCCACAAACTCTGACTTTCTAACCCCTATATCTTTGCGACCCGATGTCGTAGATCTTAGATATTTCAAACTATGAACTCTGTTTGATTAAATAATCGTTCTTTGAAATATCAAAGGTTTACACCATCGGGTTGCAAAGATATAGGGATTAGAAAATTTGAATTTGTGGCTAAAACTCAATTCCTTTACAAGAAAAAAACTCTGATACAATCGATCGTGAACACTTTAATAGAATCTTATAAAACTCTGATAGTATCTTACAAATTATTGAGAGAATCTAATAAACCCATGAGCGAATCTTATAAAACTTTAATAAAATCTTATAAAACTTGATAGAATCTTATACAACATTGATCGAATATAATAAAACAACAGGATGATAGAAACAGTTTAACGGATATAATATGAATATTTCTCATAAGGCATAACGTATGCCTCAAGTCAAGGGACTGTAAGTGTAATTTTATGTGACCCTCCATACTAAGGCGGCACAGTCCAATTTGCAACATATGCCTTTGAAACCTTGGTCTAATCAATAATATGGAAGATTGTCGTCATGCTATATTTTCAATATTATAAATATTTATATCTAATTCATACTTGAGCAGGCAATCAATAATATGGAAGATATTGTCGTCATGCTATATTTTCAATATTATAAATATTTATATCTAATTCATACTTGGATCAGACTTTGCCATTTTTGCATGGATGGTCACTTCAAATTATGCTTTTAGTCATTTTAAGAAACTCATTCCTGAGGGTTCCGAATATTTAAACTTTAACCAACTAGAAGTCAGGAGTGCAATAAATTATAATAATTATTTTTCCAACCAATTAAATTCTTGAATTCAAAACCTTAATTTTGGTAAAACAATACAAAAAGCTTTTTCTCCGGGCACTTTTTGCCATTAAAACATTTGGATAATGATTCAATGTCGCAAGAGCATCTAAACAACCATCTAGATATAGTGTTAATTTTTTAAACTAATTACAGGTGTGTTGCTGCCTACCCCTGCCACTGGTAGCTTGAGCTGCCTACTAGCAAGACAGCTGTGTTTAGAGGATTCAACATGCTCACAGATTCTTCAAGTCATTCCCCGGGTTTGTGGCCTTGAACAAGGTTAGATTTACTTACAGTTTAACCCTTAACTTTGAAAATATGGACAGAATTTATAAAATGTCGTCTTCTTAACCTACTGATAATTGAATACAGCAGATTTTTGAAAAATAATTATATGGAATTTTTCAAAACTGAATTTCTGCTTATTATATGGCTATTCATTTATTTTTACAATTACTATTATTTAGCAGTAATAGAATAAAGCCATCTAAAAATTGTAAAGGCCACATTTTATAAGTTTTTACGATGTCACCAAATTTCTTTGTTTAACTGCAGTAACATTTTTTTTGCCTCTAATCGAAAATACCCAAAATACCCTAATTTTTTAATTAGAAACAAAACTAAATCTTATCTCTCTAAAATTATCCGGACCAAAAAATCATTTCTGTCAAAAAAATCATTGCTATTTTGCTTCAATCTCCGGTTTGAATTATTGTTTCGATCAATTCACTGCTCAAGGATATCTTTGATGCGTTGGCCACCGTAAACTTGATGTCCTGATGATTAAGTCAGTATAATATGACCAAAATAGTAGGAGTCATTTTTATGAAAGATTTTTATTGAAATAAGAATTTATGGAGTTATAATGTATTTATTATTTTATTTTGTTTTCGTGGGTATTCCCTTTCAGCTTGATGTTTAATACCTAGTTGCTCAAGTATTAAAGTTTGTAATGTATTCTACAGTTTTATTGTTCATGCTCATGCTATCCTGTCAATCAAAACATTCATGCTCATGATATCCTGTCAATCAAAATATGTAAACAATTAATTAAAACAAGATGTTACTCTTCCTATGCGTTATCATTGCTGTATGTAATTTTTACTATATGCACTTTATGCTAAAAGTAATTTTTGCTACATCATTTTTTCTGCAATTTAGAAAACTTCCTTAGCCTTTCCTTGCAGCAGCGCTGGGCTGCTTTTTAACCCTGCGTCGTCAAAAAAAGGCCTAACCTTACCCTTAGTAATGTGATAGCAAACCTAACGTTTTCTTGGTGTTTAAGCAAAAATTACTTTAGCATTATGCCACTAGCAAAAAGAACTCTAGTAAAAATGGCACTTGTAAAAATGGCACTAGTAAAACTGCCACTAGTAAAAATGGCAGTAGTAAAAATGACACTAGTAAAAATGGCACTAGTAAAACAACCACTATTAAAACTGCCACTAGTAAAAATCAAACAAGTATAAATGACACAAGTAAAAATGGCACTGGTAAAAATGACACTAGTAAAATTGACACCAGTAAAACTGCCACTAGTAAAACTACCACTAGTAAAAATGACACTAACCACTAGTAAAAATTAAACTAGTAAAACTGTCACTTGTAAAAATTACACTAGTAAAAATGAAACTAGTAGAACTGTCACTAGTAAAAATGACACTAGTAAAAATGAAACTAGTAAACATTACACTAGTAAAAATGAATCAAGTGAAAATATATCGTCCCACAAACCAAGTCAAACCAAACGTTAAAGAATTTTAAGTTAAAGATCGAGTTCAATGTATTTTTAAAACACTGCAAGGCAATCCTGCATAACAGGAACGCATCCTGAAATTTTGTGAATTTTTTTATTTATTGATTCAACATTTTTCCAATACTTTTCATCATAATTTAAAATCAAAACTTAGTTATTGATTGATATTGATACAACATATTGAATCGATTGATTGATTGATTTACGCATTATTGCTTGATTTATTGTTTTTACAATTCTTCATTAACTAATTGATTGATGTGTACAATTCCACAGTGGTTAATTGATTAATTTTTTACTAATTGATTTATTTTCTAGTTGTCTGTTCGACGATCACAGTAAGCAAGTGCCAGGCTGCCCTCAGGAACAAAACTAAACAAAAAATAAATAACTAAAAAAACTTAAATGGTGAAATAACTTGAAAAATATTAAATATTGAAGCTCTCTTTGATACAGTTTTTAATCTTCATTTCATTTCTATCTTATTTCTAATATTTGAGTAAATTGATGAAATACTGAGTTTCCATTTTTGCTACTACGCAACCCTTTGTCTTTTAAAATATCAAACGATTACAGCATCAGGTTGCAAAGTGAGAGGGATTAAAGCATTACTTCTTTATTTCTTTATTTCGTTTCAGATAAAACATATGATAAAAACTTGAATAGCAATCAATGTCAAATTTAACCATTTTATATTCTAATCCTGTATTTAAAGAAAATTTTAGAATTAACATTTACAAGTTTAATAGTAATAAGTAAATTCATATTCCATAAGATAAAAACATGTCGAGCTTAAATAATACTTAATCTCAATTCTTTCTTATCCACTCGATGTTTACTCTCTACCAAAATCACCTCTAATAGATTTTAAAAGAACTAAATATTCGCTCCAAGCTCTCATTTACAAAACCTGATATTTTTGCAGCCTGATATTTAAGATATGAATTGTGCTATAGATTAAAGTCAACTTTTAATATATCATAGAAGGGGGGGGGGGTGGATAAAAGGATTATGAATAGCTAGATAGAATAGGGGGAAATTAGAAAATTTTAAAAGAATGTCCTAAATGTCTGGGATTAGTTGAAGCGAGGCTAGGACACCTGAACACACAAATATTTGACTGGCTGGAGTTTGACCGGAAAGGTAAAATTCAGGTGAAATAAAGATAAAATTGTAAATATCGGATTTCAAAATAAACATTTTCAATTTGGACCGGGGGAATACTGCAGGGGAAAGGGGGGCCTAGAAGGAAAGACTTCCAAACTCAATTTTTTTAATCCACATATCATAGCAACCAGGTTTTTTGGTAGATTTTTTGATATTTCAATCTATGAATTATGCTAGATCAAATAGTTTGTTATATTAAAGGTTTCCCCAATCAGGTTTAAAAAATGTAGGGATTGTAAAATTTTAGTTTTTTAAACAAAAACTCAGTTTCTTTGTGCGTTTTACCAAAAAACTGATTACTGGACTCACCCTTCACTTAACTTTACCATTTCTCCAGTCGAAGTACTGTAAATCACTGCAGTGCACACCGAAAACTTAGTTGAATGTGGTCTACAAGTCTTAATAAGTCCATATAGCTTTGCAACCTGACGTCGTAAATAAATTTCAAGCTATTACGTACGTCTACTTGAATAAGTAGTCTAAGTTTAACATGTAAAAGTTGCATCATGTTGCAGGAAAAATTCAATTTTTAGGCGTTTAAAAAATCTGGATTTAGTACGGAGTATCTTGTATCCTGGGTTTAGTACAGAGTAAGAACTGAGTATCTTGTATCCTGGGCTTAGTACGGAGTAAGAACGGAGTGTCTTGTATTCTGGATTTAGAAAAGAATAAGAAGCAAGTATCTTGTATCCTGGGTTTAGTACGGAGTAAGAACGATGTGTCTTGTTTCCTGGGTTTAGTACCGAGTAAGAACGGGGTGTCTTGTATACTGGGTTTACCACGGAGTAAGAACGAAGTATCTTGTATTCTGGGTTTAGAACGGAGTGTCTTGTATCCTGGGTTTAGTTTGGAGTAAGAATGGAGTGTCTTGTATCCTGGGTTTAGTATGGAGTAAGAACGGAGTGTCTTGTATCCTGGGTTTAGTATGGAGTAAGAACGGAGTGTTTTTTATCCTGGGTTTAGTACGGAGTAAGAACGGAGTATCTGATCTCAGACCTTGAAAACGTCAAGTTCCTAAAGCAAGGAAAGGAATTTTTGAAAACAACATTTAAATAAAATCTGCTTTCTCCAACTTTGAGTTTTATCTGTTTGCTTTTTCATTTTTTTATCTCATACAACGTTTTTCTCATTTACAATACACCTGTTTCATACGCTGTGTCAGTGTGTATTAAGTATTTGTGTTTGTAAGTTGTTTGTCTTTGAATGGGGTGTATGTTGTGTGTGTGTTTCATGTTGTGTTTGAGTTGTGTATTGTGCGCGTAAGCATAATGTGTATGTTATGTATGTGTGGTATGTTGTGTGTGTAAAATATAACTCTAATAATATAACGACCAACAATATAACGATAAAAAAAATAACCACCAAAAATATATCCATGTTTTGACCAAAAATTTAAATAGCTAAAATTATAACCTTTTTTTTACCAAAAATACAACCATTTTTTAAACCAAAAATAAAACCATTTTTACCAAAATATAACTGTTTTTAGTCAATAATATAGCCATTGCCTTACTAAAAATGTAACCTTTTTTAACCAAAAATAAAACTATTTTTTTACCAAAAAAATACAAACATATCTCGCCTAAAATTATAACTATTTTTTTAACCAAAAATAAAAACATTTTTTTAACTTGACATTGAACGTTTTTCTAACGATAAGAATTAATTTTTAGTAATGCCTGAATGCGATTCCTCTAAATATTTTGATATTTTGTCAGGAAGTATTGAATTAATTAGTGGTTGATATTTTTTCAGGAAGTATTAAATCATGGAGTGGTTGAGATTTTGTCAGGAAGTATTAAATCATGGAGTGGTTGATATTTTGTCAGGAAGTATTAAATCATGGAGTGGTTGAGATTTTGTCAGGAAGTATTAAATTGAAGAGTGATTGATATTTTGTTAGGAAACAATAATTTAAGAACTGGTTGATTTTTGTCAGGAAGTATTAAATTAAGTAGTGGTTGATATTTTGTCAGGAAGTATCAAGAAGTGGTTGGTTGATATTTTGTGAGGGAGTATTGAATTCAGAAGTGGTTGATTTTTTGTCAGTTAAAGAGTGGTTTGATATTTTTTTCATTGAGTGTTCCATAACATTTTTAACGAATAAGAAATGAGGTTGGATCTTTATTTAGTTATACATATTAATCTTGGGTGTTGGAATTCAATAAACAGGATGTTTTTGAAAATTGATTAACAAAGTATGAAAATAGTTTTGGTTACTATTAATATGAAAAGTGACATGAATAACAGTTTAACTTATTGGAAAAAGAACGCAAAGCTTCCCACAAACCTTATATAATAAATACTGTATAAAGTAGTTGGAGAATAATATATAATAAAATATCATTAATTTGACCATTTTCTAAAAAGAAATATTATAAAAGAATTCTTCGACTTAGTTTCATCATTTCTCTTGAGGATTAGGTTGTAATCTAATNGGGGGGGGGGGTGGATACGGAATAAATCGAGCCAAAAAAGGAATAATTTTTTTTATAAAATTAGATTTTTTATGTTTTTATTTTGTTAGAACATTGAGAAGCTTCCCATACTTTAATCCTACCTGTCTCTGTAAGGTGAGATATTCTTGATTTGCTTTTTATTCTTATCCTGTTCTTTTGGTCTTGTCTATTATAGTTCTATTCTTTTGTTCTTGTCTACTATAGTCCTGTTCTTGTGTTCTTGTCTACTATAGTCCTGTTCTTGTCTGCTATAATTCTGTTCTTGTGTTCTTTTCTACTATAGTCCTGTTCTTGTGTTCTTGTCTACTATAGTCCTGTTCTTGTCTGCTATAGTCTTGTTCTTGTGTTCTTGTCTACTATAACCTTGTTCTTGTCTGCAATTGTCTTGTTCTTGTCTTCTATAGTCCAGTTTTATCTACTATATTCCTGTTCTTGTTCTTTGTCTCATATAGTACTGTTCTTGTGCTCTTGTCTACATATAGTCCTGTTATTGTGTTCTTGTCTACTTAAGTCCTGTTCTTGTGTTTTTGTCTACTATTTTTCTCTTCTTGTCATATATGTCCTGTTCTTGTGTTCTTGTCTAATAAAGTTATGTTCTTTTGATCTTTAGTTTTTTTCTATTCTTGTCCTCTTGTCGCCATGTCTGAAATAAAGTTGTAAATATATCTAATCATTAGTTCTGATCTCTACATTCCTCTGTATATAGAACTATAGTAGACATCTTTAAACATCTTTACGGCTGAGTGCTTCTTGTCTATCTGTATGTCTGGACAATCTTGAAGATTCACAGAACTGAATTGTTTTAACAACGCATCTCTCTCTCCATAGTGTTATCACATAAATGAACTCAGTTTTTGCCACAAACTCTGATTTTTTCAATCCTTATATCCTGAAATTGGATATCTTAAACCATTGATATTTCAAACTATAAATTCTGTCAAATAGAATATTCTAAGTTTAAAATAGATAAAAGGTTAACACCATCAGGATGCAAAGAATAGGGATTAGACATTTTAAGTTTGTGGCAAAAACTCAATTCCAGGAATGAAACCACAAGTTTTTTTTGCCTCATCTCAATTTTTGAAAATCACTATTTCCTTGGCAATCATTTAATTGAATAATTGTGCAGTTTCAAATGAATTAGTTATCAAGGTTTTTTTAACTGTTTTATTTAATTTGTGGTTTCTCTGCATAAATGACTTGCTCATTTCTTGCTTGTTAGACACAATAAAGAAATCATCAGAACTAAACACTTTTTGAGTCAGAAAAAAGACTTTATCTTCACGTTTTTCGTCAGATTAAGGTTTCAAGGGAACCGTTGTAAGTCTGCACGCCATTGCAATCTTTGCATATAAATTACGCTAAAAGCCCCTTTAAGTAATAAATGTAGATAGTTATGCAATATTTTTTACCATTAGTTTATACAATATTCTTTAAACATCATTTAGTTGAAATAATTCAGTTTTGATTAAATAAGTTTTCCCTAAATATGTCTGAAAGTCTATTTATCATTTTCATTAATCTATTAGTTTATTAACCTAATTTACGATCCGTCTTTAATCTATTAATTTTAAAATTAAACCTATAATTAATTTTAAAATTTCAGCCGCCAACAGCTGATGATCATCAGTGCAATGATTTTAGTGAATTATTATTCGATCATCCTTGCCTCAATACTGCCCCGAGATGTAAGTTTAAATATTTGTTCTTCCTATTTTTAAACATTTTGTTTAATATTTTTTTCTGATAACAATCTTAGTCTTTTGATGTTAATCATATCTACATGCCGTTTGTATATTAAAATAATTTTGCTGATTTTCTTATTTTTATTGTCGAGTTTATAAAAATTTGGGAAAAATCCAAAATTTCATTTACCTGAGCTGAAAAGTTTAGAATGGTGGCCATCGAGATTAATGCTTAATCCTCTCTTTTTCTTTATATCGAGACTAACCTGATCTTGTACTTGTATCCTGAAAAGTGTATAAAATTCAACCAAACAGGGTCGCGAATAAGAAGCCGATCAATTTGAAATTTTGCGCGCCATTTAAGATTAATATAATTATAATATAGAGAAAAGGGAAGGACTCTTAATTTTAAAAAACCGGTTTTTGATTTTTTTCTACTTTTTCCAAAAAAGAGTGGATTAAGCAAGAAATCATAAGTGTCCACATTGGATATGCGGATTAAGCAGTCGGGATCAATGGTATCCCATTCTAAAGTGCCCAGCTCTGAAAAATTTGGACCTGATCTCGGATTAGCCGCTTTAACGTTTTGCTTACAAACAAACAAACAAGACTTACCAATTCGCACTGCTTCGTGCTCCTTCTTTTTAAGTCTTACAAAGGTAATTCAGTTTCTTGTAATTTTAAAAAAATCCATCATCTTTTTCAAGACTAAAAAATAGGAATTCAGATGTATTCGTACATTTGTATTGGCCTCGGTAGTTTCACAGAAACATATTTAATTAAAATTTAAAAAATATTTAAATTTTAAAAGCAAGGCGTCCTGGTGTATGTGTTGTATATTAATTCAGCTTTCTACTCATAATACTTTCAATATTAATTATATGACACGTATTTGAAGCTTCTTAATAATTTGGTTTTTTTTAAATTCTGTTTAATTGTTGGAATTTTNATATTATATTATATTATATTATATTATATTATATTATATTATATTATATTATATTATATTATATTATATTATATTATATTATATTATATTATATTATATTATATTATATTATATTATATTATATTATATTATATTATATTATATTATATTATATTATATTATATTATATTATATTATATTATATTATATTATATTATATTATATTATATTATATTATATTATATTATATTATATTATATTATATTATATTATATTATATTATATTATATTATATTATATTATATTATATTATATTATATTATATTATATTATATTATATTATATTATATTATATTATATTATATTATATTATATTATATTATATTATATTATATTATATTATATTATATTATATTATATTATATTATATTATATTATATTATATTATATTATATTATATTATATTATATTATATTATATTATATTATATTATATTATATTATATTATATTATATTATATTATATTATATTATATTATATTATATTATATTATATTATATTATATTATATTATATTATATTATATTATATTATATTATATTATATTATATTATATTATATTATATTATATTATATTATATTATATTATATTATATTATATTATATTATATTATATTATATTATATTATATTATATTATATTATATTATATTATATTATATTATATTATATTATATTATATTATATTATATTATATTATATTATATTATATTATATTATATTATATTATATTATATTATATTATATTATATTATATTATATTATATTATATTATATTATATTATATTATGTTATCTTATAATAAAAATTTAATACAGGGTAAGTAAAAAAATGGATAATGCGATGTCTTGCAAATTTTCAAAATATGTATTTGCTTCGAATTATACGTATAAAAAAGTAAAATTTTACAAAAAAAATGTAATCATATTTTTTTTCAATTATTAATAAATTTTGATGAAAAAATTTTGCAAAATAAAAGAAAAACTGTTTTACACAAATGTTAAATATTCCAAAAGTATATTTGAATTTGTATTTTTTTTTTAAAACATCATTAGAATATATTTACACACTTTCAGCTGATGACCCGTACCCTGTAGACGCTTTACCGTACTGTACACATGCAGAGGATGTTTGTAATAATGATAAATCTTGCAAGAATAAGGTATAACATATTTAGGTGGGGGAATGGCGAGAAAGAAATTTTCAAAGAATATTTTTGTGAGGGGCCGGGGGGGGGGGAGTAATGGAAATGGGACATACTTGAAATGGCAAGTATTTTTTTTAAAATGTGTATACCAACAATATTGAGCAACAAATCAACAACTTTTTTTTGCGACTTTTCCCAAAAATTTTTCAGAATTTAAAATAAAATAAATAAAATCCATACCAATCAATTATTTGACTATTAAAGGGACTGTCAGAGACATGATTTTAATTATGATTTTCCCAACTCACAACCTTCAAACCTTTTTTCTCTCTGAAAGTTAATAAATTTAAAACGTGGTTCTCAATATGACCGGTGGATAGAGCAAATTACAAACTTCAACATATTTAGGTTGAAAGACGTCGATATCTTCTTTATTGTTGCTCAGATAAAGTTTACATGGTACCTATGTGAATTGTGCATTGCAACTCTTTAACTATGGGGCGTTTGAAAATACTTTAACATTCCTTTTAATCATGATTTCTGTATTGTAGGTTGTCACCTTCCAGCGAGTCTGTCAAACGGAAAATGATAAATGTGTCATGGACGAAGTGTAAGCAAACTTTTTTTAAATTCTTGCTAAATATTATGAATATAAAATTAGAACTTAAGACATCGTGAGTTATCTCGAACATTCTGTCCGAATTTTGAACAAAAATCGTAATTTCGAACGCTTTCGTTAGTTTGATAGAACATCCAAAATATTAGATTAGATTACAGTGGGAACTAGAAAACGTGGAAAAGAAAGACGACATTATAGCGATACTTAAGTTTATATGATGTCTTTACAAAACAAATGAGTTTACAAGTAGCTGATTAAATCATGCGTATAAAATTAAATGGGTCTGTTTACATTGCAAAATTGCTTTGTCTTATGTTCCTTAGATTATTTAAAGTCATAACTTGAGTTTAAAATGCGTCATCGAGTTTTCTGGTTCTCAAGGTAGGTGGGGCATTATTTGTATTGGTGTAGCAAAATATATTGAATTATAAGGGTGGGCAGATTTGTTTATATATTAAAGATTAAAAATTTGAAAATGGAGTTGCTATTTTATAAGGTTTTTTACTTCATTGAAATTGGTGTGAAAGGGAGGGTGGTCCATAGATCGGAGGCAGGTGGTCATAATATTCTGCTGCAGATTTTATAGAAACAAGAACACAAAACACACCAACATTTTCTAGAAATAGGAACACAAAACATACCAACATTATCTATATGGAAATAGGAGCACAAAACATACCAACATTATCTAAAAATAGGAGCACAAAACATACCAACATTATCTAGAAATAGGAACACAAAACATACCAACATTATCTAGAAATAGGAGCGCAAAACATACCAACATTATCTAGAAATAGGAACACAAAACACACCAACAATATCTAGAAATAGGAACACAAAACACACCAACAATATCTAGAAATAGGAACACAAAACACACCAACATTATCTAGAAATAGGAACACAAAACACACCAACATTATCTAGAAATAGGAACAAAAACACAAAGCTCACAATCATCTGTTATGCTATAAATCATGCTCGGAATCAGCTGTTGCTTTTATAAAACAGCTGATAAACTGATCAGTTGGCAAACATGAATATAAATGGGGGATTAGCTATCTCTGCCTTGGAATGTCTGAAACTGGCCAAAGANTAAAGTACACAGTGTACTTTAGAAATGTTTATTACATGGTATTAAAGTACACAGTGTACTTCAGAATTGTTTATTATAGGGTAATAAAGTACACAGTGTACTTCAGAAATGTTTATTACAGGGTATTAAAGTACACAGTGTATTTTAGAAATGTTTATTACATGGTATTAAAGTGGACAGTGTACTTCAGAAATGTTTATTACATGGTATTAAAGTACACAGTGTACTTTAGAAATGTTTGCTACATGGTATTAAAGTGCACAGTGTACTTTAGAAATGTTTATTACATGGTATTAAAGTACACAGTGTACTTCAGAAATGTTTATTACATGGTATTAAAGTACACAGTGTACTTCAGAAATGTTTATTATAGGGTAATAAAGTACACAGTGTACTTCAGAAATGTTTATTAAAGTAAAAAAGTACAAGAATCCAAACACCTACTTTATGGAATACAATTTAGAGCTTGGTCATAACATTCAAGTTTTGGAAACAAGAATTTTCTAATTTGTTGTAACTGTTTTGATTGTATTATATTAATAGATAATTTATCTTCTAGAAGTTCATGTCACTTGTCCTGGCAAAATCTACGACAATCCCCTATATTCGGTTGCATTTGTCCGGCTAATATGCCGAATAAGAAGCGCTGTGACCAGATCTTTAAGCTTGTGAATGGAAATCCTTGTATCGGTGAGTAAACTTGTCCTTAAATTAATTCTAAAGAGAGTTGTTCAATTCTTCTGAAACTGGGTTTTCAATATTTCCGAAGAGGGTTTCAATCCTTCCTAAATGGGTGTTCAACCCTTCCTGTGAAGGTTTTTTATACTTCCTAAGATGGTGTTCTATCATTTCAAAGAAAGGTTGTACAAGCTTGCCTTAGAAAGTGTTCAATCCTTCCTAAAGATGGATACAATTCTACCTAGGATGGTGTTCTATCCCTCTTAAAATGGTGTTCAATCCTTCCTAAAGATGGATACAATTCTACCTAGGATGGTGTTCTATCCCTCTTAAAATGGTGTTCAATCCTTCCTAAAGATGGATACAATTCTTCCTAGGATGGTGTTCTATCCCTCTTAAAACGGTGCTCAATCATTCCTAAGATTCAATACTTAATAAAACAGTATTTAATTCCTCCAAAGAAGGTGTTCAATCCTTCTTAAAAATGGGTACAATTTCTCCTCAGAAGTGTCTAATCATTTCTAAGTCAATCTTTCCTAAGACTGGGTACAATTCTTCCTAAGATGATGTTCTATCCTTTCTAAGAAGGTGTTCAATCCTTCTTAAGAATGGGTACAATTCTTCCTAAGATGATGTTCTATCCTTTCTAAACAGGTGTTCAATCCTTCTTAAGAATGGGTACAATTCTTCCTAAGATGGTGTTTAATTCTTTACAAGAAGGTGTTCAATCCTTTCTAAGAAGGTGTTCAACCCATTCTAAGAAAGTGTGCAATCATCCCTAAGAAGGTGTTTAATCCTTCATAAGAAGGTGTTCAGTCCTTTCTAAGAAGGTGATCATCCCATCCTAAGAAGGTGTTCAACTCTTCCTGAGAAGGTGTTAAATCCTTTCTAAGAAGGTGTTCAATCCTTTCTAAGAAGGTGTTCAATCTATCCTAAGAAGGTGTTCAACCCTTCCTAAGAAGGTGTTCAATCCTTCCTAAGAAGGTGTTCAATCCTTCCTAAGAAGGTGTTCAATCTATCCTAAGAAGGTGTTCAACCCTTCTATCCTAAGAAGGTGTTCAACCCTTCCTAAGAAGGTGTTCAATCCTTCCTAAGAAGGTGTTCAATCCTTCCTAAGAAGGTGTTCAATCTATCCTAAGAAGGTGTTCAACCCTTTCTAAGAAGGTGTTCTTTCCATCCTCAGAAGGTGTTCAATCTTCCCTCATTCAAGGTGATCAATTCATTTTGTGTTTAAACCTTCCTGAAAATGTTTACAATTCTTCCTAAGAAGGTGTTCTATCCTTCCTACGAAGATGTTAAACCCTCCAAGAGCAAAGTTTCCATTGGCACATTGAAACCGAACAAGTTTGATTATTCTCTATTATTCTCGTCAATTAGGGTTATCAAGCGACTAATGATGAACTGAAGTATATTGAGCCAACCCAAACTGAATGAAAACTCGGGTTAATTTCAAATACTAACATGATCCATGCTTTAGCATATTGAAACTATATGCTTTAGAAAATTGATGCTATCCATGCCTAAGCATATTGAAACTATCCATAATCAAGCATATTGAAACTATCCATGCTTTAGCATATTGAAACTAGCCATGCTTTAGCATATTGAAACTATCCATGCTTAAGCATATTAAAACTACCACATTGGAAGAAAATTTAAACTAACCATTAAGGGAAGCATATTTAAACTACCCAAGCGGGAGTACATTGAAACTATCAAAGCGGAAGTATATTAGAACTACCCTAAAGGGAAGTATATTCAAACAACCAGAGCGGACAAATATTGAAACTACCTTAGCCAAAGTATATCAAAATTACCCTAGCGGAAGTATGTTGAAACTACCCTAGCGGAAAAATATTTAAACTACCCTAGGGGAAGAATATTGAAATTTATACCCTAGCGGAAGTATATTGAAACGGCCCTAACGAAAGAATATTGAAAGTACCCTAGCGGAAGAATATTGAAACTGCCCTAGCGGAAGAATTGAACAAGTTACTCTGCATGCAAAACTAATCAGACCAAGTCAATAGCAACAAATATAAGTGTCCGTCCACCATAAATATTTAGTTTTTTATTAAAGGGGGAGGGGGGGGGGGGGGATTCATCCAAGGGGCACAGGTTTAAGTTGAGTTTGAAGACTATGTTTTACCAGGACAAATCCTAGTTTTCTTGTGACGTGATGCACTTTTAAAGAGAGACATTTATTCTGTAAATATGAAAATCAGTTCAATATTTTTACTTTTAAATTGCGTTAAGTGAAGATACAAAACTATTGGTATAAAAGGGACTTTAGAGATAATTTCAAGTGAAGGTCCATTTGTACAGTGGCAGGTCGGATTCATAAAGATGGCATTTAAATCAAGGACTGATCTTGGATGACGGAAATAAATTTTTTTTGTCATAGCTGCTCAGAAGATAGGTTTTAATTGGGTACCATCATAAATCTGACATTCTGATTAATGTATGATTACGTTGACAGTTCCTTTAAAAATGTTTTTCTAGTAATTTCTTGTAAAAAGTTAGAAGCGGAAAATATTTTAAACCAAATATCCTGTATTCAAAGAATCAGCGTTTATAAAAACCGGAGAACAGAAAATTCTAAAATTCTTTGAACTATTTCTTTTTTCGTAAAGCATTTAAATTTTAACAAATTCTGAATATATCTTAACATTTTTTTTTCTTTTTCCAAAGTTTATGCTTCAGGGTTTAGCTAGTTTCGCCTAACAACCAGTTTAAAGGGACTCTTTACAAATTTAAATATGGTTTGCTAAAACTTCAAATTAAAAATAAAAATTGGGACAAATCCATTTTTGATCCTTTTTAAATTAACTTAAATGCGAATTTCTGATTTCAACCAAATAAAAAAGAACAGTCCCTTTAAAATCTGGTGGAATTGAATTCTTAAAGATTCTGTAACATTAAGATAAGAAGGGTTTGCATATTAATCTTAAAAGATATATCCAACATTTTCAACATTTTTATACAAACTTGAAAATAAGGCAAAACTTGCATCGCTGCAACCGAAAACCCACACTAGTGAATAAAAATATTCGCCTCTGCGTGATTACTACAAAGGCATTTTAAGGATTATCAGGTTTTTTAATTTTTATGGATAAAATAGCCATTCATGAACTTGCTAACAAATCATATTTACAGTTTAAAAGTATCTCTTCCAAAGGGGGTTTAAACCCTTTGGTAAAACTCAGTTGTAAAATTATTAGTCATTTTCTAAACTTTTCTAAAATAATTTAAAAAATTGAAATAAACTTTCCAAATTATTTCAATAATTAATGATTTTACTGTTTTACAACTGAGACTTTTTCCTCACTGCACCATTTTTTGTTTCCATTTTTCAGACGCACAAATACCAGACTCCATCCGACCAACCTTTTCCAATCTGGCGGATGCCGCAATATTTTGGGAATTTTACTACCGTGGGTTGCCAGGTTACTCGAAAACCGGTTCTTCCGGGCCCGAGACACGCCGCACCACACGGGAAGTATATGTTACGAGCGGAACAGCTGATTCCACGACACCCTGGTATATTCCCAGTGTGTCGGACAGGGAGTACAACGGTAAGACAAGTAGTTCTAGGGTCCATTTAGTAGTTTCGGGGTACATTTAGAAGTTCCAAGGTCCATTTAATAGTTCCAGTGTCCATTCAATAGTTCCAGGGCCCATTCAATAGTTCCGAGTTTATCTAATAGTTCCAGGGTCTAGTTATTAGTTCTAGGATTCATTTTTAAATTCCAGGGTGCATTAAGTAGTTCAAGGGTTTCTTTAGTAGTTCCAGGGTCCATACAATAGCCGTGCGTGGGTTCCTTAAGAAGTTCCAGGGTCTGTTTAGTAGTTTCAGAGCCCATTTAGTAGTTCCAGGGTACATCATTAATTGAGGATCCATAAAGTAGATTCAGAGTTCATTTAATGGTTCCAGAAAAATTCCATAATTACAGGGTCCATTCAATAATTCCAGGTTCCATTTTAGGTTCCATTTTGTAGTTCCAGGGTCCATTTAGCGATTTCAAGAATCAATCAATGGGTCCATTAAATAATATCAGGCTCCATTTTGTAGTTCTAGGGTACATTCAGCGATTTCAAGCTCCAGTCAAAAGTTTCAGGATCCATTTAGTAGTTCCAGGGTCCTTTTAGTAATTCTAGGGTATACTTAGCAGTTCCAGGGTCCATTTAGTAGTTCCAGGGTCCAATTTGTACGTCCATGCTGTATTCAGTTATTCCAAGGTCCAGTCAGTCGATCCGGGATCTATTTAGTTGTTCCAGGGTCCATTTAGTAGTTCCAGGGCCCATTTAATAGTTCGAGGGCCCATTTAAAATTATTTCTGCCATCAACTGTTTATCCAAACCCAGTAAAAACTTTAATGCAGACTTTTTTGTTTGTTTTTTGCCAAAAATGCAATTTATTTTAAAAATATTTTCTAAAAGTTGTAAATTTAGTTTATTTTTTGGGGAGGATAACTCAGCAAGAAAAAAAGATTGTATTATTATTGTTTATTATCTGGTTTCAACTTTAAAGGTTTGGTTATAAATTGTACATGCAAATACGCATCAGGTTTTAAGTTTTAAATCTTATGTAAAAATTAAAAACGTAAAAAGTTTTAAAGGTACACAAATGAATCCTGATATTTCAGTTCAACTACCTAGCCAGTCACTTCCTATAAAAAAATAACGTTCCAACNTATTTATTTCGTCTGATGGGACTAGTAATTTAGAGTTATCCCCCCCCCCTCCCCTCAAACCAACAACTTTTGTTTGTGTTAATAGCACGCAAATTGGTTTTCAGCCAATAAGTTCTGCTTTAAATTAAAATAGTACTCGCCAACCACTATGGGATCACCACCTTTCACTTTTTTATTTTTTTCACCCCTCCAGCTTTAGATTTGTTTAATTTCTTAAATAATTGTTTAATTGTAAATTATATAAAATATAAAAACATTGAACATAATATTCAAATTTGGATTTTTCCGTAACGCCTAAGAAATTCAACAATTTTTTTTATATTGAGATTATAAAAAAAAGTGATAAATTTCTTTTATTTAATTTTAAGAGAATTTTGATACAGCATTTTTATTCACAATTTCATGATCTTGTTATAAAAAGTGTGTTATTTGTTCCAAACCAAATAAGTAACGCGTTCGAGATTAAAATCTTGAATTTAAACCAAAAAGGAAAAATCCCGGCCAAAAAACATATTGTCCCGCATATCATTATACCAGAAGACTGTTGCATAAATAGATATAAAATGGAACTAAAAACGATAACACCTGCCTTAAACTAACATTATCATCTCTATACTTTTGCAACCTGAGTCCTGTGAATCTTTGAAAATTAGATGATGAACTTTGAGATATAAAAGGTTTAGATCATCAAGAGTTGCTAAGATATATGAAGATAATAATTTTTGGCAAATGTTTTGTGTTAATCTGCGCAAAAAAACAATTGGTCAATAAAAAATGTCAAGACCTTTCATGAAATTGAAAAAATTGAAAAGGTCTAGAAAATTTTAAGAACTTGTTGGTTTACAAATTTCTGTAACGTTTTAATAATTGAACGTGTTTTGAATAATGCGGGAGAATGGTTTGCAGAATACTAATGTTCCACACTTGGAGTTTCAAGCTGCCTTAATCAGGCCAAAATACGAATGTTTATAAAAGCAAGCTGACGTTAAAAATAATTAGTGTTTAGCTCCTAAAAATATCTTTAAAAATTTAATGTAATTTATCTATGTTTATATTTGAAGAAAATTAGATTAAATTTTTTTTCTTTTTGTGTTGATGAGTTGAAAACTGATTTCTTTAAGGTTCTCGTCAGCCTACGCTACAAGATCAAGAGATTATAAACATGCGCAGCACCTGCCATCTAGCGCTGGATAACTGTGAACGGGACGCGGCATGCAGGTTAGTTTAAAAACAGGCCGCGTGGTGTCAAGCTTTTGAATCATTGTTAGTTTAGAAACAGACCGCTAGGTGTCCAGCTTTGGAAGCTTTGTTAGTTTAGAAATAGGCCGCTAGTTCTCAAGCTTTAATAGTTCAGAAACAGTCCGATAGACATCAATATACATTACAAAAATACTGTTGGTTGAATAAGTAAGAGTTGATGTCAACGGCCCCTTAAATTCGATATTTTTAGGCCTTACTTGGATTCTGTCAAGTCTCGATGTGTTGATTCCTGTAACAGGGAAAGGTAAGTCAATAAAATGTATATTAAAGGGAAAGTTAATGATTTTTTTAAAGTGGATATAAAACAATTTACATCATGAGATTAGAAAGATAATCTTGTTTTAAACCATCCTAACAAATAGCCAAATATATTTGGGTTGGTTTAGTATTAATTTTCCGAATACATTCCATCTTTTTATTAATAATGAACATAAATCTAAAGAAATTATGGCAGTTTAGGCCATAAATGTGGGAATTGGAAATTTTGGTGTTTGTGTGAAAATGACTTGTTTTTAAATAATTTCCTAGAATTTTTAATTTAATTTCAAGATCATGTCATTTTTATCATTGCCTCTGGTTTTGACCAAAAATTTCTTTTAATCTAAAATCTAAACGCCCCCCGCCCCTAATTCCTCAATCCTCCTAGTTACACCTTTTGATTAGGTCACTTTATTATAACATCGAGATGAAACTTGATTAATTTAAAGCTTGAAGAATCAAAATTGAATTATAAATTAAACCTTGGTGTTGCATTTGCAGTTTAAATTAATGTCTGGACTTCAAAGTATTTCAGGGGCTTATCAATTTTTTTTAAACTTTCGTCCTAAAATGGTCACATAGATTGGTTTAAGCGTGATCTGATATATCGTTAAAATTTGTCGTGAAACCATGTTCTGATCATCAAGTTTTCTTGTATATTATTGTGAAACCATGTTCTGATCATCAAGTTTTCTTGTATATTATTGTGAAAACTTGTTCTGATCATCAAGTTTTCTTGTATATTATTGTGAAAACATGTTCTGATCATCAAGTTTTCTTGTATAGTATTGAGAAAACATGTTCTGATAATCAAGTTTTCTTGTATCGTATTGAGAAAACATGTTCTGATTATCAAGTTTTCTTGTATATTATTGAGAAAACATGTTCTGATCATCAAGTTTTCTTGTATATTATTGTGAAAACATGTTCTGATCATCAAGTTTTCTTTTATATTATTGTGAAACCATGTTCTGATTATCAAGTTTTCTTGTATATTATTGAGAAAACATGTTCTGATTGTCAAGTTTTCTTGTATATTATTGAGAAAACATGTTCTGATTGTCAAGTTTTCTTGTATATTATTGTGAAAACACGTTCTGATAATCAAGTTTTCTTTTATATTATTGTGAAACCATGTTCTGATCATCAAGTTTTCTTGTATATTATTGTGAAAACTTGTTCTGATCATCAAGTTTTCTTGTATATTATTGT